CCCCCCTGAAGAGGCTCCCCTGCAGACTCTCCACCTGGACGTGTGGGGCCCAGCCCCCGTCCGTGGACAGGGCCACGAGCGGTACTTCCTGCTGGTCGTTGACGACTACACGCGCTACACCACGGTCTTCCCCTTGCGACGCAAGGCGGAGGGAGGTCCCTGATGTTTTGATCCCTTGGATCCGCGCTGTTCGTCTCCAGCTCCGCGAGCAGTTCGAGCGGGACTTTCCTGTCCTGCGTCTGCACTCTGACAGAGGTGGTGAGTTCTCCTCCGACCTCTTGGCAGCCTTCTGTGCGGAGCACGGCATCCGCCAGTCGTTCACGCTTCCGGCCTCTCCGCAGCAGAATGGGGTTGCTAAGCGCCGCATTGGCTTAGTCATGGAGGTTGCTCGTACCTCCATGATCCATGCGGCTGCCCCCCATTTCCTGTGGCCGTTTGCGGTCCGGTACGCCGTGCATCAGCTCAACCTCTGGCCCCGTGTCTCCTTGCCGGAGACCTCGCCCACATTGCTGTGGACGGGGAAGGTTGGCGATGCGTCGCATTTCCGGGTCTGGGGTGCTCGTGCCTTTGTCTGCGATACCACCGCGGACAAGCTCTCCGCTCGCGCTGTTCCCTGTGTCTTCCTTGGCTTTGTCCCTGACGCGCCTGGTTGGCAGTTTTACCACCCCACCTCGCGCCGTGTCTTTGCGTCTCAGGACGTCACGTTCGACGAGTCGGTTCCCTTTTACCGTCTCTTCCCCTACCGCACTGCCCCGCTCCCCCCCCCGCCGCTCTTCCTCTCCCCAGGAAGACCCCCTCCCCGCTCCCGGTCCTGCTCCTTCAGGTGTGTCTCAGGTAGACCTTCCTCCCTTGACTGCGCCGGTTGAGGTCACTGGTGACTCAGGTCCTGCTGCGGGTGGTCCTGCTCGGGGTGCTACTTCTGGGGGTGCTGAGCCTGGGGGTGCGGAGCGTGAGGGTGCTGAGCCTGGGGGTACTGAGCCTGGGGGTGCGGAGCTTGAGGGTGTGGAGCCTGGAGGTGCTGAGCCTGAGTGTGAGGGGTCTGGGGGTGCTGAGCTTGGCAGTACTGAGTCTGGGGGTGCTGCACCTGGGGGTGCTGAGGCGTCTGGTGAGCAGTCTCCCTGGAGCGGCCGTCTCCGTAGTCGCTCCGCTGGTGCCTCGCCGCTGCCCTCTCGTCGTCGACTCCCCCTCTCCTCCCTGCAGCTGGTTGAGTGGTACCTTGGCCGTCAGGGTCGCGCTGCTGGAGCTGGTGACTCTGCTCCTGGAGCTGTTTCTACTGGAGGCTCTGCGGCTGCTGAGGGTGCGGGCGCTGGAGGTTCTGGAGCTGCTGGAGGTCCTGGTGCTGGTGGCGCTGGAGCTGGGGGTTCTGGAGCTGCTGACGGTGTTGCCGCTGGGGGTTCTGGAGCTGTTGAGGGTGCTCGCGCTGGAGGTTCTGGAGCTGCTGGAGGTGCTGGCGCTGAGGGTGCTGGCACTGGAGGTTCTGGAGCTGTTGGGGGTGCTGGCGCTGAGGGTTCTGAGTCTGCTGTTGCGCGGTCTCCTTGGAGTAGCCGCCTTCGTCCACGTGTGCCTCTCACCTCACAGCAGCTGCACGACTGGTACGGTTTCCGTCCGGGTTGCGCTTCTGGAGCTAGAGGCTCTGCTACTGGAGGTACTTCTGCTGACGTCACTGGAGCTGGGAGTGGTGCTGGTCTCGGAGGTGCTCGTACTGGGGGTACTGGAGCTACTGGGGCTGGAGGTGCTGAGCCTGCGGGTGCTGCTGCTGGGGACACTGCGGCTGGCGACCCTAGGACTGGGGGTGCCGGTTCTGGGGGTGCTGCTGCTGGCAGAGCTGGCCCTGGAGGAGCTGGAGCTGAGGGTTCTGGTGCTGCTGGAGGTGCTGGAGCTGCTGGGGATGCTGGCGCTACTGGTGCTGGTGGAACTGCACAGCCGCGCCTGTTCTTTGCTCCACCGTCTCCGTCGTCTCAGCCACCGCCTGACTCTGTGCTTCGCCAGGTTCTTAGTCTCCCTTCGTCTACTGGTCTTCCGTTACAGCCTGGCTCATTGTTGCCTGCTCCTTCTCCTTACACTGAGCAGACAGGGAGTCTTGCTGAGCGTCGTGAGCCTGCGTCGCGTCCTGTTTCGCCTGTTCGTCCTGGTCGTACCGGTCGTCGTGTTCCTCGTCAGCGTCAGCCGGCTGTCTCCGGCACGCGTCTTTTCGCCCTTCGTCGTTCCTCTGCTCCACAGCGTACTCCTCTACCTTCCCCCCCTGCGTCCTCTCTGCCTGACGTTGCGGACCCTGAGTCTGACCAGTTTCGTGCTGCACACCCTACTGTCACGCGTCTGTTAGCCACTGTTGTCACTGACCCGTCGTTTGAGTCTGCTGCTGCGTCTGCCTTGGTCGCTGAGCTTGTTGACTTTGCTGATGCCTGTCGTCTCAACTACGCCGCTAGTCTTGTTGCTGAGTCTGAGTCTGTCTGTCCTCCGTCCGTCGGGGGTGAGTGTGCTCTTAGCACGGACGTCCTTGAGGACAGGCACGAGGACCTTGAGTGTCTTGCAGCCGCTGCGCCTCATCTCGTGGCCATGCTGCTTGCCCCTGAGAGAGACCCGGATGCACCAGACATCCCGACCCCGCGCTCTTACGCTGAGGCGATCGCGGGTGAGTACTCCTCTCAGTGGCAGGCAGCCATGGACGCAGAGATGGCATCTTGGAAGTCCACAGGCACTTACGTCGATGAGGTTCCCCCTCATGGGGCGAACATCGTCGATGGCATGTGGATTTTCAGGGTGAAGCGGCCGCCGGGTTCTCCGCCTGTCTTCAAGGGTTGATACATTGCTAAAGTCTTCAGTCAGCGTGAGGGAGTTGACTTCTTCCAGACCTTCTCCCCTACCCCGAAGATGACCACTCTTCGGGTGCTGCTGCACGTTGCCGCTCAGCGTGACTACGAGCTTCACTCTCTTGACTTCAACACAGCCTTCTTACAGGGCAGCCTGCACGAGGGAATCTGGCTGCGCCCCACCTGGCTTCACTGGGTCGTTCCCTCCTGGTACCCAGTGAAGCCTCCGGCGGCCAGTCTACAGTCTCCGCCAGGCGCCTCGTGAGTGGCACGACACACTGAGGACTACACTTGCGGCTCTTGGGTTTGCTCCTTCCACTGCTGACCCGTCGCTGTTTCTGCGCACCGACACTTCGCTGCCGCCGTTCTACATCCTCGTGTACGTCGACGACTTGGTCTTTGCCACTGCTGACAGTGAGGCTCTCGCTCAGGTGAAGTCGGAGCTGCAGAAGAGACACACGTGCACTGACCTAGGTGAGCTGCGCAGCTACCTTGGCTTGCAGATCACCCGGGATAGAGCACGCCGCACCATCATACTGACTCAGTCACACATGGTGCAGCAGGTCCTTCAGCCCTTCGGCTTCACCTGGTCCTCCCCACAGCCCACTCCGCTGGCTACAGGTCACTCGCTCTCAGCTCCACCTTCGGACGAGTCCGTAGAGACGAGTGGTCCTTACGCAGAGCTAGTGGGCTGCCTCATGTACCTGATGACCTGCACTCGACCTGACCTCGCGTACCCTCTTGGCCTTTTGGCTCGCTACGTGGCTCCTGGTCGGCACCGAAAGGTGCACATGGATGCTGCAAAGAGGGTACTGCGCTACTTGTGCAGTACATCAGGCATGGGGCTCGTGCTTGGAGGACGGAGCGACGTTGTCCTCACTGGACACTCTGACGCGTCTTGGGTTGACGACCAGGCTACGCAGCGGTCGTCACAGGGTTACACCTTCAGCCTTGGCTCTGGCTCTATTTCTTGGCGGTCTACGCGCTCGTCTTCTGTTCTCAGCTCCAGTTGTGAGGCTGAGATCTACGCCACAGCCATGGCTGCACAGGAGTTACGCTGGCTCATCTACCTGCTGACTGACTTGGGAGAGAGGCCTCGTTCTCCTCCAGTTCTGTACGTCGACAACAAGGTGGCCATTGCCTTGTGTGAGGAGCACAGACTGGAGCACAGAACGAAGCACATCGCTCTGCGTTACTTCCTGGCTCGAGAGTTGCAGCAGCGAGGTCAGCTTTGTCTTCGTCACGTGGCCACTCGGGCCAACACTGCTGATATCTTCACCAAGGCTCTTCCGTCTGGTGATCATCAGCGCTTCTGTACTTTGTTAGGCCTTGTGCCTACGTTTCCTCACTTGCTGTGCATTTGCTTGTACTGTGATATATATATATATATATATATATAAATATATATGCCTCTGCATGTGAACTGGCCTTGTGGCCCTTTGCTTGTGCTCAGAGTGTGTGGTGACGTTGTGATCCACCCTGAGCTTGCTTTGCTTCTCTTGACTGGTCGTGTGACCCCTTGTTCTCCCCCACTTTGCCTATGGGGGTGTGTCAAACATATATGCTGCTTATTGTGTAGGCTGTAGTGGGGTAGCTCATATGGGGTACAACCCAAATTAGGGTTTCCTACTTGTACCCATCATGCTGCTAGTTCATTCATTCCTGTCTCTAGTTTCTAACACTTCCCTCCTGTCTCCTGTCCTGCCCCCCTCTCCGTTTTCTATTGCATCCACATCACTCCCTGGTGCCAGTTTGTGGCGGAGGGGCTGCCATGGGCGCATCTGGGCATTGCAGGGCCGGTGTGGAGTGAGAAGAAGGGCGGAGGCACTGGTTCGGCGCCATCCTGCACTTCCACTGGGTCGCCTCCCACTCAACCTAGGACGACTTCTGGGAAACACATTCATTTCACAAGCAGTCAGTTGGATTTGGAGTGGCACTCACAAAGCTGGGAAAAGCGAGAACCACTAGTGGTAGAGGTTGATTGCTCATTAGGTTTGGAAGCCTTTGTTGGATTCAGTTATGCAGGGATATTTCTTATATTTTGACAGGAAACAAATACTATAAGAACTCTGTATTCTTACAAAACTTCGAGTAAAAAACGAATTGATACAATTAGAATCAAGTTCTTTCTTTCGAGGATATGGCGCGAGGCTTCTTTCAATAGTGCATGAGGGTGAGCTGGTGTCCGAAATGGACGTCAACAAGTGTCAAGCATCGGATGTTAGGTCGGATCGGATCGGACAGCTGAGATGACTCGACCCGACATCCCTCCATGTTTGTGGAGGGAGGTGAGGAGGGCATCCACTTCAGTCGTACAGAATTCACACCAAGATAAAGCAGGTGGTAATTTCCTGCTGAGCCAGCCTCCCTGTTGGTTTTGACCATTTTCACGTCGAGCTCCCTCTCTCAACACTTTCTTAGTCTCTTTTCATAGACTGCCTGCCATGTCGTTGATCGAACGGCTGTCAGAAGATCTTCTCGCCACTATCCTTCACCTCGTTGGCCGACCTGACGGTCAGTTCCAACACGCGCTTGTGTGCAAGAAATGGTATCGCGTCGCCCATCTCGTGCACGACCAAATCCAGATTCGCAAAATCCGTCGCATGCGTCCCCACGAGCTGCTCGCGCACCTCTCGTCATTCCCAAGGCTGCGAAAGCTCGTCCTCGCCGAGGGCAGTCTCTCGTCCGTCCCTGACTCCCTCCTCTCGCGGATAGCCGACTCGTGTCCAGATCTGACGGACCTCCACGTCGATTCGATGGAACGGCTGTTCAGACGCGGGGGCTTTACGGAGAGAGGACTTTCTTATCTTCTTGAGAGATGCACTCGGCTGGAGAGCCTTCGGCTTCATTGTCAGTCGAACCTAACCGCCATTCCTTCGTCAATCGGCGGCCTTGTTTCTCTTAAGAGCCTCCGGATCGACGGCGGCTCTCGCCTCCCAGACGCGTTCACCTCGTTACAAGCACTAGCGCATCTCGAGATTGAAATGTACGGCCTGGATGAGTTGTCTCAGGATTTCGGCAACCTGAGGCTGTTGAAATCGCTCCACCTGAACAACTGCATGCGTCTCAGATTCATTCCCGATTCTTTCGGGCAGCTTACCAACTTGACGCATCTTTCCATCCGCAGCTCCGGAAGTCTTCAGCTGCCCGAATCCATCTCCAACCTCTCATCGCTGCTGACATTCGAGATCTCGACCTGCGAAGACCTTGCACCGCTGCCCGAGAGGTTTGGAAACCTGTCGGCGCTTGAAACCCTACGACTGGAGGAGGTGGGGGGGATTACCGACCTGCCCGCGAGTCTTGGAAACCTGCAGCGGTTGCGGCTCCTCTCTGTGATCAACTGCTGCGACATTCACTCCTTGCCTGACTCCCTCTCGCATCTGACGTCCCTCACGGACCTCATACTGCTCGACCTGACGCTCGACCGCCTACCTCACGGCGTTGGTCAACTGCCATGCCTGAGCATGCTCAACCTTGACGTTGGCGATCTCTTTCTCCTTCCGCCCTCCGCATGCCTTGCCGCCAGTCTCAAAGAGCTCTCTCTTGAGAATTCTAGTGCGCTACGTTCACTGCCCGAGGAGTTCGGGCAGCTGACTGCCTTGGAGTCCCTGGGCTTGGGTAAGCTTTCGCAGCTCGCCAGCCTGCCCGCATCGTTTGGCAACCTGACGAGCCTTGCGGAGCTGGAAATAGTGAACTGCAGCCTGCTGACGCAGCTTCCAGACTCCCTCACTCGGCTATCTTCCCTTGAACTTCTGGAAATCAGATACTGCTGCAACCTGACGGAGTTACCACAGGGCATGGGGGATGGTCTGCGCAGCCTGCGCGAACTGAAACTGGTCGAGTGCACGGCTCTCACACTCCTCCCTCCATCCCTCTCAAACCTCTCCTCTCTAGAAACCCTCGAAATCCGTGATGCACTTAACTTACACGGCACCCTGCCAGGCGGTTTTGCACGCTCCACAAGCCTCAAGAAGCTTGCTCTCTCCTTCCTGCCGCACCTGCCCGCCTCCCTCCCTGCCATCGCCCGCACTCTCACCAGCCTCGAGCTGCTCAGCTGCAATCAAATCACGGCGCTGCCAGAGGAGATCGGACACCTGGGAGCGCTCGAGAAGCTGAGGCTCTCAAAGCTACCCGACCTGAAGTCGCTCCCTCGCTCGCTATGTCGGCTGCAGCGGTTGAAATTTTTGGAAGTGAATTCGTGCAGTGCGCTGCAGACGCTGTTTGGAGATGAGCACCTGGGAACGGCCGGGCATGACCTTGGGGGGAGAATCACCTGCCTCAGCTTGGGGGGAGAAGCATCCAGTAGTTTCAGCTGCAGGGGAACCGAGGAGACTGGCGAATCTGTGTTCTTTCCATCCCTGGAGGTTCTTAAGCTTGCGGCTCTTCCACTGCAGCTGCTCGGTCCGTCGCTGGGCTCCTTCCCATCGCTGACCAAGCTGGAAATCCTCGAAATGCATCGGCTCGTCTCGTTCCCGGACTCCATCTCCCGCCTCTCTCGCTTGCAGTCACTTACAGTATGCGATGCCAAAAGCCTGCTATCTCTGCCTGAGACACTAGGGAGGTTGTCGGCGCTCACATCCCTTCAGCTCGACAATCTTCTGAGCTTGACTGAGCTGCCCGAGTCGTTCGGGCAGCTGAAGATGCTCCAATATTTGAGACTATATGGCAGCCCAGTCCTTGCCAGACTTCCCGACTCCTTCCCCAATCTCTGCAGACTTGAGGTGTGCCGTTTTTCCAACATCGGGATCTCATGCCTTCCTAATGACTTCTGCAAGCTCTCTTCTCTGGAAGAGTTGAGCCTGCGTGAGTGCGGGCAGCTGGCTCGGTTACCCACGGGTTTGCAGCAGATGGCGAAGCTGCTGGCATGCACTGTCGATGATTGCCCGCTGCTGCAGGCAAGGGAGGTGGTGATCTATGGTACAGCGAACCTGGACGAAGGAGAGCGTGTGCCTTGGAGCAGGAGGATGGTGGGATAGGGGAGGAAGAAGGGGGGGCGTGAAGGGGAGGGAGGGGGAGCCGAAGCAGATGGGGGTGAAGGGCAGGGGGTTGGGGAAGAAGGGGCGAGGTGGATTGAAGTGAAGAGGAGGAGGAGGAGTAAGGCAAGGATGGGAAGGTGAGAGGGAAATGGCAAGGAGATGGAAGAGGAATACTAGAATACGAGAATGGGGATGGGTGGGGATAAGACCAGGTGCGTGATGAGAGCAAATGCGTGATGAGAGCAGGTGCATGATGAGAGCAACACCCTTGACACTGGTTATGTGCCAGACATGGGGCATGCAGCATACAGTTGGACGCATGCTGTTGGAGCAGGCGTCACACCATTTCCCTCTCACCTTCCATCCCATCCCCACCCATCCCAGCCCGTCCCACCCATCCCCTCCCCTCACCTGAACCAGTGACGGCAACAACCTCAAGGCGGGCGCCGGTTGGGCTCAATGATTCACCTCATCAAGCTCTCCCTCCATCCACCCACCCACCCATCCCCACCCCACCTGCGCAACAGTGGCGGCCAAAACCTCAAGGCTCAACAGTTCACCTCATGGAGTTTGACCTTCTCTCATGCCTCCAATCGTCTCCCTTGGCTCTGCTTCTGCTGCACCCCTTCGCCTTCCCCGCTTATCGCACCCACCAGTGGTGGCTACAACCTGAAGGCGGGGCCGGGATCAATGATTCACCTCATGAAGTTTGACATGGGCGGCGCTGCTGCTGTGCTGGGCGCTGCCAAGGCCATCGCTGCCATCCAGCCTCAGGGCGTGCAGGTGAGGCCAGCCAGGCCATGCAAGCCCACCGCTGGCACCGCTAAGGCCATCGCTGCTATCCAGCCACCCGGGGTCGAAGTGAGGCCGGACCATGCAAACGCACACGCACATACGCACACACTGCTGGCACCGCTAAGGCCATCGCTGCCATCCAGCCGCCCAGAGTCGAGGTGAAGACTTGCCCCATCCACCTGCTTTCCACCCAGATGCTTTCCACCCAGATGCTTTGCACCCAGATGCTTTGCACTCACCTACTTTGCACTCACCTGCTTTCCACCCACCTGCTTTCCACCCGCCTGCTTTGCACTCACCTGCTTTGCACTCACTTTGCACTCACCTGCTTTGCACTCACCTGCTTTGCACTCACCTGCTTTGCACTCACCTGCTTTGCACTCACCTGCTTTGCACTCACCTGCTTTGCACTCACCTGCTTTGCACTCACCTGCTTTGCACTCACCTGCTCTGCACTCACCTGCTTTGCACTCACCTGCTCTCGTAGTGCTCTTCATAACGCGCCGTGCAATGCGTGCTGTTAGAGCATGAGGCTGCGAGGTGCATGTGCGTGTTGTTGCAATCGTTACGTTCTTCCTGTATGCCACTTGCATGCACAGGCGCAGTTTTGCCAATCGGCATGTCCGTGGGGATGGCTTGATGGCTGCATGTTATTCATGTGGTATTTGTTCGTGTGTGTGTGTGTGTGTGTGTGTGTGTGTGTGTGTGTGTGTGTGTGTGTGTGTGTGTGTGTGTGTGTGAGCGCATCGCATGCGTGCATGTGTGCATGTGTCAGTGCGTGCGTGTGTGTGGGTGTGTGTTCTTGCATGTACTATGGACCATAGGATGTTTCTCACCTCACTGCTCTTGCCTCACCTCACTGCTCTTGCCCTTCCTCTCCTTTCCCGTCTTGTCCTTCTCTTCATGCCCCTTTGTCCCCCTCGCAGGTGAACAACACGGACGCGGAGGGGCGGCTGACACTGGCGGATGCGCTGCTGTACGCGCAGCAGCAGGGCGTGGAGAAGATCGTTGATGTCGCCACCCTCACTGGCGCCTGCATCATCGCCCTCGGGAATGACATTGCTGGTACGCGCTTCACTTCACATGCATTGCTGAGGTGGCTTTTGAGTAGACTGAGATGTTGCCACTCTCACTGGCGCTTGGATCATCGCCTATCATCGCCCTCGGGAATGACATCGCTGGCACGTGCTTGACAATGCTTATATTGCATCGCTGGTACTGCTGGTGTGCCATAGACATCGATGTGCATTGCTGTTGCACATTAGCCACGAGCCTTGCCATCCTGTTATTATGATGATATGACATGCGTGCACCTGTGTGCTTTACGCTAACTTGTCCCATTGCCTGTGGAGAGGGAGGTGCATGATTGGTACTGCTCCAGGCGGTTGGTTCACACGCATCCATCATTTGTACGCCTCACACGCATCCATCCGTACCCAGGTTTACATCCCTCTCTCATTCAACCCCTCCTACACCCAATCACCACCCTCTGCTTCCCTGCCACCACTCCCAGGTCTGTTCACCCCGAGCGATGAGCTGTCAGCAGAACTGGAAGCTTCCTCTCGGGCGTGTGGCGACAAGGTGTGGCGCATGCCCATGGAGGAGGCGTACTGGGAGGGTATGCGCAGCAAGCATGCCGACATGCTCAACACTAGCGGGCGCGAGGGCGGCTCCATCACTGCTGCGCTCTTTCTTAAGCAGGTGCGTGGAAGATGAGAGAGGGGGAAACTGAGAGAGGAAAAAAACAGCAGGCAAGAGGGGGAGGGGGTGTTTGTTCTGTGCCACTTCTTCATGCCCTGCTGACCACATCACTCTTTGGTAGTCTCTTCTGCAGGAGCTCCTCTCTTATTCTCGTCTCTCTCTGGGCCAATCTTGAAGCAGCAAATTTGTGTGCATTACGACGAGAGGCGAACATACTCTCCCGCCTGTGTCCGCCTCTCTATTTTCTTTTTTGCCACCACTCCCTGCCGCCACTCCCCTTCACCAGTTTGTGGCGGAGGGGCTGCCATGGGCGCATGTGGACATTGGCCGGTGTGGAGTGAGAAGAAGGGCGGCGGCACTGGCTTTGGTGCCAGCCTGCTCTACCACTGGGTCGCCTCCCACTCCTCGCTAGAGAAAACACACCTTTGAGTAGCAGTCAGTTGGATGTGCAGTGGCACTCACAAAGTTGGAAAAGGGGAGAAGAAGCCCAAGTTGGATTCCGCTCCTTTACGCCCCTCCCACCAAGCCCATCATTAAGTTTGGAAGCCGTTGTTGGCAGGGGCATTTTTTCAAGGGTGAAATACCCTGATTCCCCTTTCTAAAATCCATTTTTTTACGATTACCCTGATTCTGAAAGGGTGGGTGATTTTGTACCCTTTATTCAAAAGTGTGGAGTTTTTTCTACCCTGTCAAAATCAGTGTGCGCTAATTCTTACCCTTACGCATCAGCGTACCTTCGCCACTCCCAGCCCCACTCTCCCCCATTCCCTCGCTTCTCCGAGCCGCCGAGCCCCATTTTCCCGTATCCCTCGCCACTCCCCGCTCACCTCCCCTCAATTCCCTCGCATCTCCCAGTCCCTCCCCACAATTCCCTCGTCAATCCCAGCCCCAATTCCCCCATTTCCGTTACAAATCAGGGTGCTTAAAAGTTTACCCTGATTTTGAAAGGGTGGAAGAAAAAATACCATGACAGGCAGGGTGACGTCATCAAGGCACTCTGATTTCCAAGAGTGCCCCAAAACCAAAAATAGGCCCTGGTTGTTGGATTCAAGTGACCAGGAATGTTTCTTCTCTTTTGGTAGGGTTTTAGTTATTCCCCCTAGAAGGCGAAACATTCCAAAAAATAAAAGTTTACCGGTAAGCGTCTGTTTGTTAAAGCCCGGGTACAGCATGGTTATTTTCAAATTCAAGATTCTTTTTTGGGCGGAACTCTTGCGACTCTGGGACAATGCCTAGCGACACTCTCTCCTCATTGGCTGTTGTGCACAATCGCAAAACAGAACCGAGCGTCGCTCAGGTTTGCCCGCTGTTTGGCTCACACATATCTTGATCACCTTGTAGTACTCATGACCGGCCTAGGCTGTAACAGTGCAACAGCCGAATGCTGCCAACTGCAATGCAGGTGGGCGGAAGTCAAGCGCCACCTCACCTACAGTTCGGATTGGTCAAACGCCTCAACCTGCAGCTGGGCGACCAGATTCCGACACGCAGCCCAAGTCAATCCCACGCACGAAAATTACGAAACGCAGGACACCAAAGTTCCGACCGCTCGCCGACTTCGCCAACAACACCGACGAAATTACAGCCCCGTAACCAAGCTCGCCGGCCAATCCCGTACCGCAATAATTCTCTGAATTTCACGGCAGGTTCATTTCAAAGGGTTGGGTTACCATTGAGAAATTCAGAGAAAGTCGCGACTTGGGAGTGCGACTCGATGTTTGAATGTGCTCTATAAAATTGTACTCTGAAATTTGTGAAGTCATAATGCAATTTCCAGAAAATTCCAGAGAGCACTCTATACTCATTCTCCAAGCCTACTAAGGCTACTATCTCCCTGCCAGCAACGTTTCACTGGTAATCAGAGCCTGGTTTGTTATTTCGCACGCTCCTGCCATATTCTAGACCCTATGGCTGGGCCGTCGGATATGACGCCGGAACTCTGGAACGAGTTTGTTGCTAATATGCGCCGAGAGATTGAACGCGAGGTGCGTGACCGGATTCTCGGCGAACTCCAGGAACGTGGACTCCTGGGCACACAGGTGCCGGCGCCAGCACCTGCTGTGGTTTCTGCACGACCGAAGGCACCCGAACCTGAACCGTTCATCCCTGGAAAACGTCACTTACCGGTGCGACGGTGGCTTTTCCAAGTGGAGGAATACCTCTCCCTTTGTCATGTCAACCGGGCGGAGTGGGCTCGGCACGCCGGCATGATGCTGCGGGGAGCTGCTGCTACTTGGTGGCAGAGCTGCCACGCTACAATTTCAACATGGGAAGAATTTTCTGCATCGCTCCTAATGAACTTCGAACCGGTCAACGCCATCGAGCGCGCGCGTGACAACCTTGCTGATTTACGCCAACACCGCTCGGTCGCTGAGTACATCAATCGCTTCCGCGAGCTCGTGCTTGAGATTCCTGACATCCCTGCTGCTGAACAGATGGACAAATTCAAGCGTGGGCTAAAGCCGAAAATCCGCACCGAGGTTGAACTTCGTGGCGCTGCGACGCTGGATGAGATGATTCGTGTCGCCGAGCGTTTTGACACCATCAACTTCGCAGCGTACCAGCGATTCCAAGGGCGAACCGGGCAGCACGCAGTAGCTGGACCTACTATCCGCACCAACGGTCCTACTCCCATGGAGCTCGGTGTGGTGGACCAGCGCACACGCAACCAATCCACGCTCACGTGCTACTCGTGCGGGAAAGTCGGCCACATCAAGCGACACTGCCCGAACCGCCGCAACTTCGAAAGGTCTCCGGGAAACGGACAGCGCCAGTAGCAGTGGGGCAGACCTCTGGCGCATCGCATGCCCCGCTTCTCCCGACCCCATTATCCATCGGCACCTCCGAACTCTACACCACATCAAACGCCCCATTCCCCGCTATCATTCTATGGGCAAAAATAAAGGATCGCTATGTTGACTTTCTACTCGATACCGGCGCTTCAGCAAACTTTCTCTCTCCCTCTATTGTGGCTGAACTTTCTCTTCCCGAAGATCCCAACAGCAACCCACAGGACGTCATCATGGCAGATGGTACTCGGCGGCGCTGCGGACCTACTCTCCTCCCCGTGCACTGCATGTTCGGAAGTCTGGAGGCGACGGTCACGTTCGAGCAAATGCACCTCGGCGGCTATGAAGGCGTGCTCGGACGACCGTGGTTGTACCAGCTTGGACCGCGAATTTATTGGCGTAATGCAACGGTCACCGTCGGCAACTACGACCTCCCATCCCGCTCCTACCGCCGCCCATGGTCATCCCCAACAACTTCAGCCTCATCAACCCATCCATCCCAACCTGCCCCACCTCCAGCCTCCCATATCCCCCCTCTTCCTCCTCCTCTCATAGCCCCCGCGCAGCAGCCAACACCACCCGGCTCCCCCGAAGTCATCAACACACCTCCTCCTTCCCCACCCCACCCAACCCAGCAGCCACGCCGTTACCTCTTCCGCCCTTTCTCTGAAGTTATCAACCCACCAGCCCCCACCCCTCCTTCACCACCTCCTCCTCATCATCTCCTAGTCATCTTCACGGCTCCCAAATTTGAAGCATCAGCTACCCCTCTGCCACCAACAATTCAGAATCTTCTAAACGGTTATAAGGACGTTTTTCCGGATGATCTATCCGCCGAACTTCCACCCGAACGTGCTATTGACCATAGCATCCGCCTCATTCCAGGTTCTACACCGCCCGTGCGCCCAACCTATCGCATGAGCACCGCTGAACTTTTGGAGCTACGTCGACAACTTGATGGCCTTCTTGAGAAGGGTTTCATCCGCCCAAGCACCTCGCCATACGCTGCCACCGTACTTTTCACTCGCAAGAAGGAAGGTGACCTGCGTCTTTGCATCGACTACCGCGCCCTCAACGCCATCACGATCAAGAACAAGTACCCGCTGCCCCGTGTCGAGGAGTTGTTTGACATGCTTGGGGAAGCAACGGTTTTCAGCAAGCTTGACCTACGCTCCGGCTACCACCAGATCCGCCTCGCCGAAGACGACATCAACAAGACGGCGTTTCGAACCCGCTACGGCCACTTCGAGTTCCGAGTACTTCCGTTCGGTCTCACCAACGCACCAGCCACGTTCATGGGACTCATGAACGATATTTTTCGGCCCTTCCTCGACCGCTTTGTCATCGTGTTCCTCGATGACATCCTCATCTTCAGCAAGTCACTCGAGGAACACGCTCAGCACCTACGCATCGTCCTCGACACGCTCCGCCAACACCGCCTCTACGCCAAGCTCTCCAAGTGCACCTTCGCCCGTTCAAGCATCGGCTTTCTTGGCCACGTCATCAGCTCCAAAGGCATTGCTATGGACCCCACAAAGGTCCAGTGCCTTGCTGATTGGCCAGCACCACGCACGGTAGCGGAGCTGCAAAGTTTCATCGGCCTCGCCAAGTATTACCGAAAGTTCATCTTCAACTTCTCTCACATCTGCGCTCCGTTGACCGATCTCTTCCGCCAAGGAGCTGTTTTTCAGTGGGGACTACCGCAGCAGACCGCTTTCACCGCAATCAAATCGGCACTCACCTCTGCACCGGTCCTAACCGTTGCTGATCCATCACGGCCATACTTCATATGGACCGACGCCTCCGATGTCGCTGTTGGTGCCATTCTTTGCCAAGACCACGGACATGGGATGCAGCCACTCGCATTCGAGTCACGCAAGCTTCAACCGGCAGAGCGCAACTACGCAACACACGATCGGGAGCTCCTTGCCATTGTCCATGCAATCAAGACATGGCGCTGCTACGTGGAGCTGCAGCCCGTCACCGTCTACACCGACCATCGCCCACTTCAACACTTGAAAACGCAGCCCGTGCTCAGCCGCCGCCAAGCCCGATGGGTTGAGTTCTTGGAGCAGTTTGTCCCATCGCTTCAGATCATCTACCACCCCGGGAAGCTCAATCCAGCTGACATCTTGTCCCGGCCACCACCACCAGCCCCACCAGCCACCAACCAGCCCCACCCACCCACCAACCAGCCCCAACACTCCCCAACCAGCCCCACCTCATCTCCTCCACCTAAAACTCCCAACCCACCCTTGCAACTCCATGGAACCAGCAGCATCACATGGGATGATACCTTCATCACAAAGTTTCAGCGCGCCTACAAACGTGACCTGTTTTTTGTCAAGCAAGCACCCGAGGACCCGGCCTACTCATTTGAAGACCCATTTTGGTACAACGCCGTTACAAAGACCATTTGTGTCCGTGCTGATCGCTCCTTACGGCAGTTGCTACTTTCCGAATACCACGACACCGGCAGCCACTTTGGTGTTGAGAAGACCTACGCACGCCTTTCCAACGACTACCATTGGCCACGCATGCACGCTGATGTGCGTGACTTCATACGCACATGCCGAACCTGTCAACAACTCAAAGCACGCACCACCAACCGCTACGGACTCCTTCAACCTATCCCTCCACCTACCAAGGTGTGGGATGAAGTCACCATGGACTTTATCATGGACCTGCCCCGCACACCCCGCAACTACAACGCCATCCTAGTCGTCGTTGACCGACTCTCCAAAATGAGCCATTTCATCCCCACGCACACAACCGTCACCGCACCCGAAACAGCCCGGCTTTTCTTCGATCACATAGTCCGTTTACACGGCCTCCCATCCGCCATCATTTCAGACCGTGACCCTCGCTTCTTGAGCAACTTTTGGCAAAGCCTCTTTAAGCTTCACGGCACCCGGCTGAAATTTTCTACCGCATATCACCCTGAAACGGACGGACAAACTGAACGGATGAACCGCACGCTTGAAGACGCCCTTCGTGCACAAGTTAACGCTCGCCAAACCGATTGGGACCTCCACCTCACCGCCATCGAACTCGCATACAACAGCACACCCCATCTTTCCACCGGCCAGCCACCCTTCTACCTCGCAACCGGACAGCACCCACGCCTCCCAACGACCCCACCCTCCCACCTCTCCCACGCACCAGCAGCCTTTGAGTTCCTCACCTCACTCGAATCAGCCATTGATGCCGCTCGCACCTCCATCCTTAAAGCACAAGCCAAACAGACCCACTATGCCAACTCCCACCGCAAAGATATCCGCTTCAAGGTTGGCGATCAAGTGCTTCTCTCCACGGACCACTTACCTCTCCTACGCAAAGGCACAACCAGAAAACTCGCCCCTCGCTTCATTGGCCCGTTCACTATCACCCGAGTCCTCTCACCAGTCAACTACCGGCTCCAACTGCCCAGCTATATGAAGATTCACCCCGTCTTCCATGTCCAGCGCCTCCGCCCTTATTGTGCACCTTCACACGACCGTCCAGCCACACGCCACCTGCCACCGATGTTCGAAGGCAGCCCCGGCCTGTTTGAGGTTGCATCTATCACTGCTCACCGCGACACACCTCATGGTCGTGAGTTTCTTGTTCATTGGAAGGATCAGCCTGCTAGTGAGGACTCATGGGAACCTGAGAGCCACCTTGACCGTGCTGCAACTGCCGTGAACCGTTACTTGACCAGCCATGGTTTGGCGCCGTGGACGACGCCACTTGGAGGGGGAAGTAATGTAACAGTGCAGCAGCCGAATGCTGCCAACTGCAATGCAGGTGGGCGGAAGTCACTCGTAACAGTGCAGCAACACACTTCCAAGAACAGTGCAGGTGGGCGGAAGTCAAGCGCCACCTCACCTACAGTTCGGATTGGTCAAACGCCTCAACCTGCAGCTGGGCGACCAGATTCCGACACGCAGCCCAAGTCAATCCCACGCACGAAAATTACGAAACGCAGGACACCAAAGTTCCGACCGCTCGCCGACTTCGCCAACAACACCGACGAAATTACAGCCCCGTAACCAAGCTCGCCGGCCAATCCCGTACCGCAATAATTCTCTGAATTTCACGGCAGGTTCATTTCAAAGGGTTGGGTTACCATTGAGAAATTCAGAGAAAGTCGCGACTTGGGAGTGCGACTCGATGTTTGAATGTGCTCTATAAAATTGTACTCTGAAATTTGTGAAGTCATAATGCAATTTCCAGAAAATTCCAGAGAGCACTCTATACTCATTCTCCAAGCCTACTAAGGCTACTATCTCCCTGCCAGCAACGTTTCATAGGCTCACGTAAGTAGAAATCCAGTGCGGCATCAGCTAGTACCACGTGACCGCGATTTTTACGGCAACTCACGTCACTCATGCTGTCTCGTCAATAGCTGGGCAGCACCAGTCTAGTGTAGATATTTACATACGTTGTCGCCACACTCACACGGAACGTCTGAGCCAAACGAGTGCGCCACCATTGTACCCCACGTTTAGCGCGAGTCGTCACCCCGCGCTCCCCCTCTCCACACGCGCTCCCCCTCGTCACTCGCGTCCGCCCTCGTCACTCGCGTCCGCCCTCGTCACTCGCAGCCTGCCCGCCGGGTTAGAATGTTTCCCCTCGTCATGCGTTTCCCTTCGTCATGCGCGTTTACCTTCGTGATGCGCGTCCCCCCTCGTCACGCGCGTTGAGTACTCGTCACGCGCGCATCGCTTCGTCGCGCACATTTCCGCTTCTCGCGCACGCGCCTTCTCGTCACGCGCGCTTCCCTTTGTTGCGCGCTCTCCTTCCATCGTCACGCAGGTTTCCCCTCGTTACAGGGAATCCTCCCTGGTCACGCGCGCTTCCCCTCGTGAAGGGCCGAGGGGGAGAGACAGGGAGGGCAGAGCGTGGGAGACGAAGGGTGAGAGCGGGTTCTTCCCTCACTCCCTTTCCCCATGGACCTCAATTTCCCCGAATGGTTTACACCCCCCTTTATGTGACCGACCTCCCTTTCTCCCACCAGCTCTGTGCACCCCGCAATCTATTATCCTTTGCCTCACCTGCTTCCCCCCTCCCTCCTCCTTGCTTCCCCCCTCCCGCCTCCTTGCTTCCCCCCTCCCTCCTCCCTGCTTCCCCCCTCCCGCCTCCTTGCTTCCCCCTCCCTCCTCCCTGCTTCCCCCCTCCCGCCTCCTTGCTTTCCCCCTCCCTCCTCCCTGCTTCCCCCCTCCCTCCTCCTTGCTTCCCCCCTCCCGCCTCCTTGCTTCCCCCCTCCCTCCGCCCTGCTTCCCCCCTCCCTATGCCCTGCTTCCCCCCCCTCCTCCCTGCTTCCCCCCTCCCTCCTCCCTGCTTCCCCCCTCCCTCCTCCCTGCTTCCCCCCTCCCGCCTCCTTGCTTCCCCCCTCCCTCCTCCCTGCTTCCCCCCCTCCCGCCTCCTTGCTTTCCCCCTCCCTCCTCCCTGCTTCCCCCCTCCCTCTTCCTTGCTTCCCCCCTCCCGCCTCCCTGCTTCCCCCCTCCCTCCTCCCTGCTTCCCCCCTCCCTCCTCCCTGCTTCCCCCCTCCCGCCTCCTTGCTTCCCCCCTCCCTCCTCCCTGCTTCCCCCCTCCCTCCTCCCTGCTTCCCCCCTCCCTCCTCCCTCCTTCCCCCCTCCCGCCTCCTGCCTTCCCCCCTCCCTCCTCCCTGCTTCCCCCCTCCCTCCTCCCTGCTTCCCCCCTCCCGCCTCCTTGCTTCCCCCCTCCCTCCTCCCTGCTTCCCCCCTCCCTCCTCCCTGCTTCCCCCCTCCCTCCTCCTTGCTTCCCCCCTCCCTCCTCCCTGCTTCCCCCCTCCCTCCTCCCTGCTTCCCCACTCCCTCCGCCCTGCTTCCCCCCTCCCTCTGCCTTGCTTCCCCCCTCCCTATGCCCTGCTTCCCCCCTCCCTATGCCCTGCTTCCCCCCTCCCTCCTCCCTGCTTCCCCCCTCCCTCCGCCCTGCTTCCCCCCTCCCTTCGCCCTGCTTCCCCCCTCCCTCTGCCTTGCTTCCCCCCTCCCTATGCCCTGCTTCCCCACTCCCTCCGCCCTGCTTCCCCCCTCCCTTCGCCCTGCTTCCGCCCTCCTTCTGCCATGCTTACCCCCTCCCTCCGCTCTGCTTCCCCCCTCCCTATGCCCTGCTTCCCCCCTCCTTCTGCTGTGCTTCCCCCCTCCCTATGCCCTGCTTCCCCCCTCCTTCTGCCATGCTTCCCCCCTCCTTCTGCCATGCTTCCCCCCTCCTTCTGCCATGCTTCCCCCCTCCTTCTGCCATGCTTCCCCCACCCTCCGCCCTGCTCACCGCCACCCTCAGAGAGGTGAGCGCCACGCATCACGCGAGCCTTCGATTTCCCTGGCCTGCCCCTCCTCTCCCTGGATCTCACCATCCTTCCTCTCCCTCCCCATGTGCCTCTCCTCTCCCTCCCCATGTGCCTCTCCTCTCCCTCCCCATGTGCCTCTCCTCTCCCTCCCCATGTGCCTCTCCTCTCCCTCCCCATGTGCCTCTCCTCTCCCTCCCCATGTGCCTCTCCACCCATCGCTCATCCCTTTGTTTCCATTCAAGCATGACCAGGTCGGGCTCAGATGAGTCTGGCAGAGTAAAGGGAGCAGCCGCAGGCTCAAGGAAGTGTTGAGCGAACCCTGAACAGCTAGAGCAGGAGACAACACTCTCATTTACCTTGAAATGTGTACACCATATTGCATGTTGCATACCTCAGTGCGATGCTCAATTGCATCATGTGATAATGCTTATCTATAATATGTAAGGTTTGCATTGCAAGTTACAGATGATATCTACATCATCAAAGCTATTGCATGCGCAGAAAATCTTGAATGAACTGTTGTAATATGCTATTAGATCGTTTGATTGATACACTAATGCCACACACAAGCTGGTACAACTGTATACTGGTATTTAGTGCCACCAAGGTGCGATGAGCTTCACTCAAGAACAACACGGCCCTCCTACTGCCATTGTGGTGCTGTCAAGGAAAAAAGAACAGAAAGGAGGGAAGAAACAGAGGGTGAGTTGGAGGGTTAGGAAGGGTGAGCAGGGGGGAGGAAGGCTAGCACGGGGGAAAGGAAGGGTATGCAAGGGGGGACCATAACGAACAGCAGCGAAATGAGGGGACGCTGGGTGGGAATTGAGGGAAAGCAAGGGACGAAAGGCAGGACAGAGAGGAAGGGAGGATGGGCGGAAGAGAGGAAGGGAGCAAGGGAGGAGATTGGACGAGGGAGGGAACAAGGGACTAGCAGGGAGGGAATAGGGGGCTAACAGGGGGGAAGCAAGGGGCTAGCGGGGGGGGGGAGGACAAGAGTATAGGAGGGGGGAAAGTGATAGGAGATCGGAAGAGGGGGAAGAGGAGAAGAATGAGATAGGAAGAAGGGGAGGACGAGAAAAAGGGAAAGAAGGATTTGGGGGGATAGGGAAGATGGGAGAGGGAAAAGAGGAGATTGGAGAAGGGAGGGAGGAGACGGAAGGGAGTAGATTGGACGAGGGAGGAGAGAGAATGGAGGAGACTGGAAGAGGGAGGAGAGGGAATGGAGGAGGCTGGAAGAGGGAGGAGAGGAGAGGAACAGGGCAAGCAGCGGGGGACAATGAAGGAAATGAGAGGGAGGAAAAGGGGAAGGAGTGGCATTTCCAGCGAGGAGGTAATTAGGCGAGGAGCAGCAAGGCAGAGGTGTTGGTGATGCTGCTGCTCCACACAGACAGATGGCGCAAGTGGACCAACGAAGACGCACCCGAGAACAAGGATCAAAAATACGGCTATCGTATTATACGGGGCGTTTTTTTCGATGGTATAATACGTTCGGATTTCCAAAATTTCGGTCGTTTTTTTGTTGGCCCTTTTTTGTGTCGGTTTTTTTTCTTGAATCTACTGAAATGGCTACAACAAAGACTAGGACACCCATAACAACCTACTCTAAGGAGAAACAGGCATGCTAAGGTCCACTAATACTGCCGCTACCCTTACTATGCATGCATCCCTAGGCAAGTACCAGCCTCTAGCCTATATCCCCTCCTAAGACCATCCCCACCCTACTATACTCACCCTGCTGCCTTCTATTCTTCTTACTCCACCACCTCGCCATCCTCTTCCTCCTCCCTCCCCACTCTAACCGTCATACTCCTCGTCATCCTCTTCCTCCTCCTCCTCCTCCTCCTCCACTTGAACCGTCGCTGCAATCCCAGGCATATCGCCCCTTGGTATTCATGGTAGGCTCTTCCTCCTCCCCACCGCTCTCTTCTGCCTCCTCTTCCTCCTCCGCATGCCCTGCTTTTCCTCTCCCCTTTCCCTTGCATGCACCGTTGGCCTTCCCCTTCTTCTTCCCTTTAGATGACTTACCCGCCTTCCCTTTCCTCTTCTTGCCGATGCTCCCAAATTCCGACCAATCAATGGTGCATTCCTCCTCCACGGGTGCCTCCTCCTCCGCATCCCCTTCCTCCACCTCCACTTCCGCCTCCACGGGGATGGCAGCCCCTTCCCTGAGGGTGCCGTTGCCCAGGTCCTGATAGAGCTTGGAACGCAGGGCTGCCTTTCGATCGAAGGAATCACGGGCACGCCGTGTGAAGGCGACGAAGGTGACGTCAGTCATCTTCTTCGCCGTGAGGCGGTTCCGGTCGCGCCTCTGCACACGTGCCAGCGCCGACCAGACCTCTCCACCTCGGAGGAGGTGACTGGCTGTGACAGAGACGTCACAGCCAGGTCTTGGAGCTGCTGCACCTCCCCACCAAACAGGAACCACCATTCTGCCTCCGTCATGCGCCCCGCCTCCACCAAGGTAGTTGCTGCCCAACGGGCATCGTCAGAGCCCAACCTGCCCTCCCCTCGGTGAAACTGAGCCACCTGTGCAGCTAGCGTTATGCGCTGCTGCACATCCCCGCCACGGGCCCGGATCACCTCATCCACCCCCTTCCTAATCTCCTTATCATTCCTTACCTCCCCAATGTACTGGTTACGGGGGTTGAGGAGCCAACCGATGGCGTGCAGGGGGTTGTGCAGTTGTGCGTCCCACCTCCTTGCAATGATCGCCTTGATGGAGGTGAGAAAGGAGCTCTTATCCTTCGGCAACAGCAGACCCGTCCGCTTGATGAAGTGTGCGGCTGCTCACAGTGAATAAAGAGCACTAATTAGATAAACAATCAACATGACCAGGTGGGTGGAGAGATTAACAATCAACACCCCTCGCGTAATACTTTCAGCCGTCTCACTCACCAGCCGTCTCAGCAGCCGCATTAGTCTTCACCGTGGCTTCAAGCATGAGGCCGTACAGCTGCCCCATGACTTGAGCCCCTGTGTCGACCGCGCGAAGAACCTCGTAGATGGGAGTCATGAGGCGGTGCACGGCCGTCCCACAGTCCCAAAAAACGTCGTCCAACAGTAGCTTCCTAACCTCCATCCCCTCCTCCGCCTTTGCCACAGCTACATCCTCCCATTCCTCGCTGATTACCATCGCCCTCAACGCGCGCTTCACCTCCAGGAACCTGCCGAGCATGATGACCTGGGTGCCAAATCTCGTTGCACCAGGCCGCACCAACGAGAGCTTGGTAAAAAGCTCACGGAACAAGACCACGGCCGACGCGGAGCCTTTGATAATCATAACGACCTGGTGCACTTGGGAAAGGACGAGTTTCACCGCAGGGATCTTGCCGATGTCGTGCAACATCAAGTCGAGGCAGTGGGCAGCGCAGTTGGTGAAGAAAATGTGGGGATAATCCGCGCTTAACTTGCTGGCGGCGTTTTTGTTGTTCGAAGCGTTATCCATGACGACTTGGACGACATGCTTCGGCCCCACCGTGGTGATCGCTCCCTGAATAAGCGTTGCCAAGTAGTCCCCGGTTTTTTTGGCGGTCTTCGAGTCGACGATGTCGACGATGACGGGTGCAGTGTCGTTTTGTGCGATGACACACACAAAACCGCGGGATTTGATGTCCGTCCATCCATCGACGGAGAGCGAGCACCCGCTGGTCTTCCAGCTATCCTTCAGCGGCCGCAGCAGGTCCTCGGAGTCCGCCTTCAGCTTGTCTAGCAGCGGGCCGGATACCTTGTACGGGGTTGGGAGGGTGTACGGTTTCGCGTACATGATCGCCGCGTCGACGAACGCCTGCATCGATTTCGACTTAGACACGTTGAAGGCGAGGTCGTTCTCGGCCACCGCAGCAGCCCACAGGTAATCAAGTCGATTATGCGCAACTTGGTCCGTCATGTCACGGATATCTCTCTGCCGGGAGCGACGCACGGGCGGCGCTTCCACCGTGGACGTGGAGGCACGGTTTGATCCGCCCGTTGCATTCCCCGTGGTCGAGCGCTCCTGATCGGATGTCGCCCGCAGCTGCTTAGCGTAGTCCGACTTGCACATCGCTACGTTCTTGTCCCTCTTGTTAGTGCCGAACATATGCTCGCCTATCCTAGTCGCGTTAGCTGTCACCGGATTCTTGCAATGAACGCAGGTAGCACCGACTACGTTGCCTGCGTCATCCTTAATCTTAATGACGTGCTCCCAATACTGAGAAGCGGGACGCACCATGGCGGTGAAGGTTACTATGCTAAGATAGCGTGGGGCAGACACTGTAGTTCTGAGAAACGGCCGCCAGAGAGAGAGAGAGAGGATGAATGTGTCGAATGAATTTTCTCTCCTCCAATATGTATCTCTTTGGAGGGGTGTTGGAAGAATGGATGACGAGAGATGGGAGTTGGATTGGTGTACTACTATTGGCTGGAATTGTGTCGCGCGCAATTGTGCGAGGCGTCACGATTGCAGGCGAAAACTAAAACCAGCGCGCGAGTTGTGCTAACGACTCCGCGAAACGGGTAAGAAGGTTGAAGGGGTTCGCCAATGGTGTACATTTCCGCGCCTCGGAAATGTGTTGTCGTCGCGATTCGGCGAACTACTCAAACGACTCCGCGAAACGGGTAAGCCATTCGTCAGAAGTCAAAATGTCGCGCCGCGACATTTTCCTGACATGCGCGACTCGGGCCAAATTCGAGCGAGACTGACTACCCTTCTCACGAAATCCCCCATATCGAACTCGACGGGGCTGATTGTTGAAATTCGGTGTACCATTTATCTGTTTCAAAATTTCGGTCGAAAAAAACGACCGTATTTTTAATCGAAAGTAAAAAATAACATTTCACCGTACTAAACCGTTTTAAACGACCGTATAATACGATACCGTATAATACGGCCCTAAAAGCAATATTTCGGTCGTATTTTTGATCCTTGCCCGAGAACATGCAGCTGAGTGAGCACCTGAAGGAGCACCTGAAAGAGCACCTAAAAACCACCTGAGGAAACACCTGCGAGAGCACCTGAGGGATCACCTGAGAGAGCATCTCCAGGATACCTGAGAGCATGCTGAGAGCAGAGTCTGTGACGTGGCGACAGTTGTCAAGCCGGAGGGAACCAGGCGACAGTTGGCAGCAAAAGTCTGCCAGGTACGCGAGAACAGCCTGCGAAGGTAGGAACGGCGCTTCTATGTCACTCCTGTTACCAAATGGAATAAATGGCAGTGTGATACAGGAGAGGTCCACGTGGTCCGCTGAGGGCGCGAACAGCCTGTGGGTGGGGTGGGGGGATGAGACGAGAGGAGGGAATGAGGGGAGGAGACGAGGGAGGGAGGCGAGGGAGGGGATGAATGTGCTGTGCAGGGACGGAGAGCGGGGCCTCGCAGCCTCACAGAAAGCGTTCGCAGGGAGAAATGGACGGTTATGTGGGGGCGTAGAGAGCCTCGCAGTCCACTCGAGCAGCGGCGCATGATGCGTCTGAGGAGGGGAGGGGAGGGCATGAATGGGTACTGTGTGCTCGCGCTGAGAAAGGAGGGGAAGCAGGGGCGGAAATGAGGGGAAGCAGGGGCGGAAATGAGGGGAAGCAGGGGCGGAAATGAGGGGAAGCAGGGGCGGAAATGAGGGGAAGCAGGGGCGGAAATGAGGGGAAGCAGGGGCAAAAGGGAGGGGAAGCAGGGGCGGAAAGGAGGGGAAGCAGGGGCGGAAATGAGGGGAAGCAGGGGCGGAAATGAGGGGAAGCAGGGGCGGAAATGAGGGGAAGCAGGGGCGGAAATGAGGGGAAGCAGGGGCGGAAATGAGGGGAAGCAGGGGCGGAAATGAGGGGAAGCAGGGGCGGAAATGAGGGGAAGCAGGGGCGGAAATGAGGGGAAGCAGACGCGGAAAGGAGGGAAAGCAGGGGCGGAAAGGAGGGGAAGCAGGGGCGGAAAGGAGCATGTGCTACGTGTCGCCATAAGCGCGCTGCTCGTCGCCCGGGCGGCACCGCTGATAGTCGCGCGGTCACGCGGGCTGCTCTCACCCGGTGCGCGCGCTGCACGTCGCCTGGAACGTGAGCGCTACTAGATGCCTGAAGCGGGTGCTGCTCAACTATCCGCTCCTTCGCCCGTTGAGCGCTCTGCTCCACGCGCGGTGAGGCTCGTAACGTTTCCTTTGTCGGCATCGCTTTACTGACATAAGTTTGAGTAGGTGGCGTTGTTAGAAAGGCGTGCAATGCTCTGGTGTTCTATTTCCTGTGAGCACAGTCGAGGTGAATCAGTTTCGAGAAGACTTCCAGCGCAGGCTCACAAACCTTGTGCGCCGTAAGGGTGGGAAGGTGTGCGAAACCTTCTGCGACCCATTGGCTGCTGTCTTCTTCACTTCATGCGACCCGTTTTTCGCTTTGGTTTGGTGGGAATCGCAGGTTTGGTATGCACGAAATGTCGAATTGCTCGCGGAGGTTTGTTGTTCTCGCCAAAGCTACACAACCGAAATAGGTTTCGCACACCCTCACCTACACCTTATTTCAAATCCACATAACTTGATAATTTACCATGCTGACCCCGTGCTTTAAGGCGCAGGATGATGAGGAGTGAAAGGTCTATCTCGATGTGGCTGCTGAAATGCCAACATGCGTTTGGAGCGTGGCGCAAGAACAAGGGGAATGTCTTTCGACGAGTGAGTTCTGTCGAAGTCCTGGTGTTTGACTGTTTTGTCGAAGTTCTGTTGTTTGAGTGTTCTGTCGAAGACCTGCTGTTTGACTCTTTTGTCGAAGTTCTGTTGTTTGAGTGTTTTGTCGAAGATCTGCTGTTTGGTGGTGAATGTTCTTTCGGTCGAGTTCTTCCCTCTTGACTAACGCATCTGTTGCGATGTGCAGTTTCCAGTCGCTGTTGGCGACGGCAAACTAGGAAGTGAGAGCTGGAACCGACTGGGGAATCGCGCTGTGCGCGATGATTGGTAAGGTCGCGACGCTTGGCATGAAGCACGGGAACCTGATTTATCCGGTCCCGAAGGGCATGGCGGCGACACCGCTCATGATGGCCATTCCAGCAACTGTGATGAGCTTGTGGACGGCGTGCAGGAAGTTGTCGAGGGAGGATATTAAGAAGGATGCCCTAGCTGCCGCAAACGCTGCGCTCTACGCTCCGGAGATTGCAACCAAGGCTTGTGTGGCTGCCATGGCCGCGCTCGTGTCCATACCTTTACACGTCGGCAAGACGTGCCAAGCGAAGCAGTGGCCCGATCAGCTGTATTCGTCAGCTGTCGAAGGTCTCGGATCGACAGACGCCATCTTATTGCAGATGGTGCGCGTGGTAGCACAGGTCTGTACGCAATGGTGCTGCTGTCGAGCTGCTGACCGCTTGCTGGAGGACGCGGGCTATGGCAGTTTGGCAATGCCAGAAGAAAAGAGCAAGGCGAAGCTGGGCGACGAGTTTGCAGTTGAGACGGAAACGGGCGGGCACGAGGAGTAGTCTAGGCGGGCATTTTGCGTGGGCGTGTTTGCTCTTCTTGACTTTTTGTTTTCGATAATGCTCAATAGGTTCGTGTAGACGAGATGGTCGCTCATGAATGAAAACATGCCATGCAAGTTCTGAAAGAACAACCTACTCTAGGTTCCCCCCTCGTCACGGTTGCCCGTCGAACAAGGGCCCTCCCCCAATGTTTTCATGAACTCCTTCCATTTGTCTTTGAACACGTTGTCGGCCCATTCCGTGGTGAGGAGTTCGACGGAATGAGCTCCCGCGTTATCCGGAGGGGATCTTTGTCCTTCCGGTTTTCTTCAGCTGTCTCGACTTTACGCTTCTTCGTGAGCTGCTTCCCCGAATCCTCCTTGAGAACGAGCCCTTCCGCCAGCATGTTGATCGAGTGTTTGATGACAATTGAGTCAAGCTTCTCAACGACCGTCAACGTAGCCGCGCTGCTGTCGTTGATCCTAAACATCTCGACGGCCCTCGTGACAACCTCCATCTTCCACAATTTCGACTCGACAGCTTTTGAGGTCGGTGGCTTTTCTTTTGGGTGGTCCTCCACTACAGGGGGGAACGGGGGGAGGAGTCAGAGTGAACTTGCTGAACTTGACGGCGAAGCCCCTCCTGTAAGCGTGTCGAAGACTGTGTCCGTTGTTCAGTGGGCTTGGCCCGTCCCAGTACGACCACGCCTGCTGCTCGGCCTCGCAATTGCACCACGGCCACACCATTGCGTCGAAGAATGTTTGGTCGAGCTGGCTGCCCATGCTCTGTCGAGTGGGTGTTAATTGTGGGGCTTGCTGTGGTGGTGGGGTGGTTTCTTTGGACGCCGTCTGGGGCACGCTCTCGCTCTCCCCACATTCGCAGCTGCGCTTGTCTCTTCAGTGCTTAGAACGCTTTCTATAGTTGTGCGAGAGCCTTTGTCTTCGCCTCCAACTCCGCTTGCATCGCGCCCTTCTCCCGCTCCAACGACTCGACCTTCTGCTCGAGTTGTTTGATCTTGATTTTTTATTCCCTCCCTCCTCCTTATGTAAGTTAACCTCGGCCCGAAGTTGCGTGATGAGGTGCTTGGTGTTGAGTTGAAAGGATGCGTCCTGCACACAAGATCACGAGCGGTGAGTCGGCTGATGCAAACTGTTTGGATAAAAATTTGGAAGGGCCATCTTACCGAAGCCCTCGACGTGGTGGGGTTGGTCCGCATCTCGATGCTGTACTTGTCGAACAGGTACACGTCAAGCGCCTATTTTTGGAAATCCATGTCCTTGCACAAACCCGACATCTGTGCATAAGGGTGACGCTCGCAGTCGCACACATTCACTCTGTCGAAGGGGTGGTCGTCACAATGGACGTAGTACATGGCAAGATCCTCTGCGATGGGCATTCGGACGGCTTGCAGGGCCTTCAAGAAACTTTTCGTTGCGAAGAACATATGCTCCTTGTCCTGCTCGTTATTCCATTCCATCGCCTGAACAAGCTATCCCGAAGTGGCCTAGTCAGTAGAAAGAGGCACTTCCGATAGATGAGGTCCTGGGATCGAACCCACCCCCGTGCAGGCGTGTTCTGCCAGCCCCAAGTAGGGGTTAGCACGTGCTCATCTAGGAGTGGATACCCCTTATAAACTGGTTACGACCAGAAA